ATATGTAATATATCATATCATTTCTTTCCCATGATATTTGATTTTACCAATGTTTTGTAAATAAAATAAAAATAATATAATTATTTATATCGATGTAAAATAATATATATATATATATATGTATATGTATATATCAATACCAATTTAGAATAATAAATAGACCTAAAAGAATCTTATAAAATAATTATAAATTCATGTTAAATTAATTTTATTAATTATAAAATAATATAAGATAAGCTTGTGGTATATTTTTCTGACATAGATTTGAATTATTCATACTAAGAAAAAAGTCAACTAGATGTAATTGTACAACTACTACCAATATTAAATATGTGAATTAAAAGAAAAAAATAAATCGGTTGTATGTTAAACTATTATTCAATTATTGCTTGAAAGGGAACACCATAATGGTTGTAAAATGTATTTTTTGTGAATATAAACATAAATTAGTTACTTAATATTTTATCAGAACATGGAAATAAATTCAAAACTTTTTAATATTATAAACAATATAAAACTACATTTTTATCAAGTATATTATCACTATCAAACACGTAAAAAGAACGCATTGAGTATAAATGTTCTCTAATTCTCTCAAGAAATAAAATATTATTTGTGAATAAATAAAAAAAAAAAAACAAGTAAACCAATAGTAATGCAATGAGGAAAAGAAAATTTCTGAATTTTTTTAGAAAAGTATGAATACTAATATCAAGAAAAAAAAATCTTTTAAAATTACTACTTTTTTTGTTGCTAGCATTTAAGTATATGTTCTCTATAAGAAATTAGTTCTCATAAATAATGATTCGATATTATCATAAGATAGACCACAAACTTCAATAATGACTTCATAGTAATAAAGTTAACAGATGACTAAGAGTATCATAATATAGTATAATTCAAATTCTTCTCATCTGAAATATTTTGACAAATACTTCTCAATATTGTCTCATTGTTTTGTTTTGTTTTGTTATTATTGAAGAATCAATAAAGGATCTTTATCTTGAATATTTTAAGCATTAGTTATGATACAAAAGATTGGACAATAAATGCAATAAATGTTATTAGACACATAAATATTGCAAATCCGAAGGAATATGGAAGGTATCTATCTTCCAAATTAGTAATACTGAAAAGGGAATATTTGATACTGATTAAAATATTTTTGAATGTTGAATAAGTTGTCACTTTTTGATAAGAATATTTACAATCATAACTGTGTATTATGCTCGATCATACGCGCAATTGTTTTAGAGTACATATTTTCATGTAATGTGTGATGATTTCAAAAAAATAATTTAGCATCTTCAGAGAAGTACATGATTTGGGAAAATCAAATTTTATTTAGAGATGAAATTCGTTACCACCTCATGGGTAAGTACCAATTTGTCTATGTGGAGAGAGAGAGAGAGAGAGAGAGAGAGAGAGAGAGAGAGAGATATGTAGTAGTTTATATAGTGATTAAAAGAAATATCAAGAATGTTAATGACACAAATATCAAGAAATTTAATGCTACAATTGCTTATTTCACAGAGATAAGTTAGCATGTTTGTTTATAAAATTTTTTGGTTTTGTTTAGATTTTTTGGTTTGTTTGGTTAATTTTGAAAAAGGTGGTATGGTTAGTTGTTAGTAGGTATATTAAAATAATATTTATAATAAAATAATTAAAATTGATATGATGCAAAAGTATGAGAGAGATATTTGAAGTGATGGTTAGTTAAAATAATGTGAGTGGATGAATAGTGAATTAAGGTTGATGTGGTGTGTATGAATGATTGATTGATATTATTTAATTATATTGATAATTTTGATGATAGTGGGAGTGAGTTAAAGTTGAGTTAAAAAAAGTGGTTGAGTTAAAATGTAGAATTTTTTTTTAAAATTTCTTATAAACAAACATGCTCATGAACTATTAGTAGAAATATCTTATAATGATCATACAATTATAAAGTTTGACTATATGTTTGGCTAATGTATTTCTAAGTGTTGAATAAAACAGACGTTTTGTCAAATTAATTAAGAAGAATTTTGCAATACTATTGATGTATTAGAATTCAACGAGTATGAATGTTTCTTATGAGAACAAAATGACTCTTGAATCTAACATAAATAAATAAAAGAACTCATGCATCTATAATATACATTATGTCTCTATTTAGTCATTTATTGTTTTTTCATTAGGAACTCATTTTTCATATATTTTTGTTGGAGTTGTAATATGATATATAAATTTTTTTATATTACGACAACATTTTTTTATTTAAAATAAAATTCATGAAAAGTTTATTTATTCTACATTTTATTTTGTTCCTGCAGTCATATGTATAATAAATTAATTAATTTATCGTACTAAATTTAATCGGTAAAAAACATTCGTCGTCACGTGCATCGCACGTGCACTTTACTAGTAGTAAGAAAATATCGACCTATATGCCTTTTATTTTGATAGAATGGAACTATTTATGAACCTATTGGAAACTTATATGATAATTATTACAAGAAGCATTTCCATGATTCAAACCATCTTTATTTTTTCTCCTTTTCATTTTTATTTTTTGGCCTCGTTTCAAATCTGCAGATACATCTGCTGAACTTATCAAAAAACTTCAAAAATGCATCACATTTCAAGATTTTGTAGAAACACGAGAGTCAAGCGAAAAAGAGCCTTTGATCTTTTAGATCTCTCATTATGAACTCAGATACCATTTATGGGTGACAGAGTTACGGGATTTTATGCTCTTGAGACCCACCCATAAAATATGGGTTCTATTATGTGCTCTTTGCGTAGTTTGTATTTATCGAGTATTTATTGTCTCTTCTCTATATTTCCATCATCTGAACTTTCTATAATTATTCCTTAGTAATAATAATATCAATTGTGCTTTTCTTCAAGATAAGTGTGTAGTACTTCATGACCACAATCCTTAAAATATGTGCTTCTTCTAGAGCACTTCATTGTAATATATGTATGATCTCGAATCTCAATGTGAGTTCGTCATCTGTTATATTCCCTTAGACTCATATAATATATATTGACAAATCATTTTATGTGATCACCCACAACTGACAGCTTTTGGCAATATTTTCTCATTTTGTTCACATCCAATAATAGTTTCTGGTACCACTTCATCATTTTAATCATAACAGGGTAACTTCCAGTACCACATATACCAGGATATCATTTAATCATTAGGTCGTAACTTCCGACATCACATTAATCATGTGGTGACTTCTGGTACCATCTCATCAATTGTCGTTTCTCTATAAATTTGAAGAACTTATCAACTATTTCTTTAGGATCAGGCTAGTCCATATAATATCCGTTCACGATCAGAACTTTAGCTAATTTTTCATGTGGTCGGCTACACAGTATCATTTATTTCACTCATTAGCTATAACTGAATTTGTACTGCCCATCGCCGGCGACAGAGCCACACTGGCCAGCCCATGTATATATATAGTCATTCATATTTTGTTGCACATGGTCTTACCACCTGGCCATTCCATATCACCAGTTATCATTAATACGTCGGTCGGTCCATTTAGCCATTTAAATCTTTTATTGTATGTTGCCGGTGGCCACACCGCTCGGCCATTTCTCATGATCATTCATACTTCTTTATAATATTTCGATCAACAGTTGACCCATCAGCTACTATATATTAAATATTTCTTGCCAGCGGCATAGCCGCACTAGATGATCCATATAGCCACACATATTTCTTTTCATGTCACAAGGGTCGATCTATAAATATCCACATGTTCATGTATTAAATAATTTTAATAATAAAAAAATTCAAACATTTTATAATTATATAATATAATAAATCATATTAATATTGATCTTAAAACGAAACTCTAATTAAATAGGATATTGTGAAACAGAGAAAATTTAATTTTGATAGTCGCTACTTTCTATACTAATGCAACAGTGTTTGAGCAATAAAATTTATCACAAGGTCCCACCAAAATAAAATGGAAAACATATCAAAATTTCTATGCTCATAATTTGTTTTGGCATTTAATGTCAACTTGTAAATACAATAGTATAGTAAAACTTGGTGGATGTTCTGAGTCTTCTGACATGAATAAGTTGCCATTAATCATTTGTCATTTTCTTACAAAATTTCCACGAGGCTCACGATTCAATATTATATTTATATCACCTATTTTGATTTTCAATTTTCTCCACCTAATGAAAGATCATTACTTTTCTCTTTCATCAAATACCTTCGTCTCTCCATCAAACATTTATAAGATGCTTATTCTATCCCAAGCTCCAACTTTGTTACCTCTTTCAAAGTTTATTATTTTTCTCTTGGCTGGACATTAAATTGTGCTATACATTTTCCAGTCTTGTGTAAGACATATCCAATCAATATTAAATTTCAGTTTTCGTCATAAAAGTATAGTGCATGGTTGTTAAACTCATATATTAGTTATTAGATTGGAACCTTTTACTTTTATGTCATTGGAAAGAGTGTTAAATCATAGACGAGATAACAAAATCATGAAAAGCTAAATACATGCTAGTAGAATAGTAGATGAGTTTTGGCATACCTCTTAGGTAAAGTATTTACCATTTATATCACGAGCTTCGTGAATCTGGAGCAGTCGCGAAACCAGAAAATTAATTGAGGGGGCAAAAAGACATGGCAAAAAATTTTGGGGGTGCAAAAAATCATTTAAGAGAGGGCAAATTAATTTTTTTAATTATAATAGTAAAAAAAATTAAAATTTGAGGGGGGCAATTGCCCCTCCTAGGTATAGTGTAGTTTCGCCCCTGATCTCGAGCGTTTTTCTTTCTTCTGAGTTTGAAGCTGGAGGCTAAGAATTAAGATGGTGGTAGTCTTTCTTCTCATGGTGCTTAAGATGTTGGTTGCTTTAGGAAAGATTGGTATAAAGAAAGTGATGAAAACTGATCATAGAAAATTCAGATTTCGTGCCTATGGGGAGTTGATTCAAGAAGAACAGTAACTAATAATCAAATTTTTGATACGGATGTTCATTTCGAAGATGTAACCTAAAGTATACTCATTTATATAAGTACACAAATAATAACCAGAATTCCACAGGACGCAGAGTATACTTGCTTATTTCCCATAAAGAGAACACATCTGTTAATTTATTGGATCCAAAAATAACAAAAAGAGCAAAAGAAGATTGAAAAAATAATAATAATTGAAAGTATCAACAATGTCAAAAAGGTCAGTATGCTCTTATGGTACTGTGATTGCTACTTTCTCAGGAATCACATTTGCAGCTTCTTGTAGCTTAGTCAAATCACCCGTGCTTGATTTTTCTGTCGAAAAATCGTCTTCTCCTGTAGAAGGGCTCGATCTTCCACTTCCATGCACGAGACCTTTGATAATTGACACGAGTTCCTTATCCTTCAGCAAAGACTCTATCGTTACATGCACTCCTGAANATATCGACGTACGGAATCGCCAATAGTGTTTAGGATTTGTGGGGTCGTTAATCGTCTCCTCCATTGCTGGGCGGTTCGTGTATTCTTCTTTGAGTGCCAGCAAATCCTGTTTAGAAGAAATCACAACAAATGGTTCATTTTCCAGTCTAAAACTCGAAACGAGGCAAAGATTTCACCTTTTTTTTTCTCTATATGAATTCTTTCACGAGTGCCCGAAAAAAATATTAGATCTATATATATGTGTGCGTGTTGTGTGTGTGTGTGTAGGGCTATTAACGAACCGAACGTTCGCGAACAAAAGCTCGTTCGATAATTCGTAGTGTTCGCGAATATTAATTTAATATAATTTTATTTTATTTTTTATTTTCGAGTTCGAACGAACAAATTTCGGGTTAATCAAATATATTTTAAAAGTTTATGTCCTAAATTATTGGAACACGAACGAACTCGAACTTTGATAAACAATTAAACGAACGAGCTCGAACACGATTTTTTTCTCGAAAAATAAATGAACGAACACGAACATTGTTCGTCGAAATGCCCAAGTTCGTCTCGTTTGGTTCTATTACAACACAGAGTGAGAGTGTCTATAGGTTTTGGAATACCTGAAGGGGAAAAATCGACCACATGGAAGGAGATTCGACGTGCTGGCGCAAAACAAAATGTGCGATTTCAGGAGTGCAGTGATCCGGCGGCAGCAGATCAGACCCCACAACGGTTTGGAAAAATCGGCGCCTTCTCTCTTCATCTTCTTCCCACCAAGCACGAAGAGTCGAGCAGTCGTGACACGAAGGAGCACATACCTGAATTAGGGAAAAAAAAAAAAAAAGATTTCATAATATAACTTCCTATTTTCGAGTTTCTGAAAACTGAAAAATAATCTTCATATTATTAGTTCTTTATTTTCTGGTTCTTAATTTGTTCGATTATTGGTTTAACACTTAAGAGCCATGAGTTTCGGTACAATTAGATGAATAAAACTTGAGAGAGAGACAGAGAGAGAGAGCCATTATCAAATGTAATGTTCGACACAGAGAGTAACCAATAGTTACATAGTTTTTGCCGAAGGAAAATTAATTCAAAATGGAACTTACAGTCATATAACTGTACTGTGAAGGAATACCGAATTCGAGATCAGGTTCATTGGGCATACGCTGTATGCGTAAACCAATCAAACCCAGTTCTTGCATGACCTGCAAAGCAATTAATTCCACCGTAAAATTAATGTTTTTTCTCGGAAAGTGAATTTCACAATTAGAAAAATAATATATGACCATATATAAAAATATAAATATATAAATACACACAGGGTGAACGCAAGAAGGAATCATTCCAAGATCTTCTCCACAAGCCAGCATATCGGACGAGTTCAAAAGTACAGGCAATGTCTTTAAAGCATTTTGACGCCACAATGTTTCTTGCCGCTGAAAGTAGTAATCGTAGTATAGTCTTTTCAGAACATTTTTGCTGCAAAAAAATCGACAGCCGGTTAGAACATTATTTTAATATAATAGAGGACTAATTACGAACAGGCGAAAACTACCCCTAAAGTTCAGGTTAATATGAAAAATC